ACAGTCCAAGCCAAACAATTCACGATATCCAACCTCAGACCAGCAAGTAGGAGTTCTACACTTCCTACCAAACAGCGCCTCGTAGGGTTCCATGCCCAGGCTAGCAAAGAAAACACAATTGCACACAAACTCAACCGATGGCAGTTACCTATCCCATACTGAGCCCTGCACCAAAGTGCAAGCTCTCAACATGTCCTCCAAGACCTGGATGGTCCGCTCAGTCTGTTCAGCAGTCTGAGGGTGATAGGATGTACTCAGTAGCAACTGAGTTCCAAAAGCTCTTTGCAGCGCCTCCCCAGACCGAGATGTGAACTTCGGGTCCCTATCACTGATGAAACTCTCGGGCATCCCGTGAAGCCTCACGATCTCGCGAACGACAGTTTGGCCAACTGCTTTGACGAGAAGCTCACCTTTACCGGATAAAAATGGGCAGACTTGTCAATTTGTCCACAATGACCCAAAAAGAGCCAAGACCAGCCTGAGTCTTAGGCCAACCCATCACGAAGTTCATAGAAATACCTTCCCACTTCCACTGCAGTACCTTAAGAGGTCTAAGCTTAACAAACGGCTTCTGGTGTTCATTCTTCACCTTCAGGCGTCACGACAAAAGACACACAAAACAATGACCTTCCTCATTCCAGGACACACCGTCCTGGTTCTTCTCCAAAAGCTCATTCTCGACTCTCAAAGTCTCAATTTTCGAGAAGTGCATCCTCAAACAAGGAAGTCAACTTCAAATCTCGAAACTCCTTATTGACATCCGAATGGCAAACGATTTTCTGGGATCACCAGTCACCTTATCAATAAAAGTGACCTGACCCCACATCTCAAAACTACGCAACACACGAGTGAGTTTGGTCCTATTCCATGACTCTAACCTCAACAAGACTTACAATTAATAAACAATATCTTCCAAATAAATTCATATTCATTTCACAGTACTAAATAATCATCATGTTCATTTCAACCAATACATGTTAATTAACATACTCATTTACATAGTAACGTACCTCAGTTCACGTACACCTGCAAAATTTTCAATCACATAATAAACCAAAAACTCTAAGTAACGGTATACCTCAATCTCCATGGTATCTGCAAAATTGAGAGTCAGTCAAAGGTGAAATAACATTGATATATTACCGCAGTTCATCGTACTCATATCATGCTTAACACTATCCATGGTGTTAACATGCCAACTACTCAAGACACATATCAATAATCACAAAATCCTAGAGTCATGGAGACCACTCAACTCACAACTACTTGTACATGCACTACCTTGCATACACAAGATTATGCGTGGCCTTGCCACAAATTCTAAGTGTTCCACACTCAGTTTCCCTAAAGAGAATTTCACATCCTCAAACAGAGCACCATCACGCTTAAGTAATGGCGTAAGGCATCTTGCCTTACAACAAAATGACCAGTGCTCCCTGATAACTCATATTTTATTACACTTATTTTTTACTCTTGATTAGTATTTTTAGGATTTATTTGAATAAAATAATGATTTTTTGAGTTAATTTACATTTTTAGTTTTTGATTGGGTTTAATTTATTTTTGTCAGAATTTTTCAGCTTTACGTTACTTCTGTATTTTGGCCATATCTTGGTCCACAGTTGTCGGATTGACTCTGTTCTTGTTGGGTTTTTCAGATAACACAAAGGGCTACAATTCTTATGCAGAGCTCGAAGCCCAATTCGAATTGGAAGCTAGTCTATTTCTTGCGCAAAGTCGGACACGTTTTGCTGAAGTTTTATTTTATTTTATGTATTTTATTTCGTATTTTAGACATATGGGCCGGTCAGAACTGAACCCTAACCCGCTTTGGGTAGGGGTATATGACGGCAGAGTAGGAAACATTGTATTCATTCTGTAATTTTTGAAATTGAGGATTAAAGTATTTTCTCTGAAGCGTTCTTGGCGTTCTTCATCTTTTTCTTCTTCTTCTTTTTATTTTAATAATGTTTACCTTAGCCATGCGAGGCTAAGAACCTTTTAATCAACCTAAGGGTAACGGATTCCATGGATTAGTCTTGAGGGTCTTCGTTTATTTTAAATCATTTCCGTTTCCCTTCCAAACTCAGATTGATATCGTGCGATCGTGGATATTCAATCTGAGGTTCGCGATTGCGATTATGGAAAGGGATTAATCATCAGATTTGATGATTAGGTTGATTGACCCTATGACCTTAAAACAAGCGGGTTGATACTCTGCGATTGTATGGGTAGAAGCATCGTCTTTGATCAAATGCTAAGCGATCGCTTAGAGAGGGTTGTCAATTGGAAATAAGGATTCTGATTCGATTGACAAATCAATCACGATTCTGATATCTTCTTATCTGAGGAAAGACGTCCATGGAACCCAAACCTTAGGTTGGTTATTTTTAATTACGAATTTTAAATCCAATTTCATATTCTGCCTTTTTAATTATTCAACCAAAATTCAAAAACTCCCCTTTTAATTTCTGTTTTGATGAACGATTTTTACCCAAGCAATTTCCTTGAGAGAGACGACTTAGAGTTTCCACTCTACTACAAATTTTCTGAACCCTAATAAAAAAAAATTAATTTGCGCGAGTTCGACATCTCGTGTCAAATTTGGCGCCGTTGCCGGGGAAATTGCATCGGTCTAAATCGGTTTCTGATTCTTGGTCATTTTTTTCTTTAATTTTCGTTTTTCTTTATAAAAAAAATCGAAAAAAAATTCATTTATTTTTGCGCATCTGTCCTTGTTTATGCGTTTGCGCTCATTTGTGTTTCTGATTCCGATTTCTGCACCTTTGATTCTGCATCGGAATTTGATTCTGCAGATGCATCTTTTTTCAGTTTTTGCGTTTTCTGCATTACGGTTTACGTTTTGGGCAGTTTTGGGAAAATTTGGGAAAATCGGTAAAACTTCAGTTTGAGATATTGGCTCTGGGAGTTCTATTCCCAAAGGAATTCGACCTTCTGAGCATAAATCACACCCTAACAGGGTGTGAAGTGACCCTTAATTTTGCCAAATTCTGTTGTTTACTAACCGTTTTTGTTGTTTCTTTGTCGTTTCAGGACATATCAAGTATTTCTGAACTTGTTCAACTTGCTCTGATCGCTCTGAAAATTGGTGACCTGAAGAAGACGATCATCCCTGTCAAAAATTGTGCGGCTATGCCCCACGTAGCAGGCCCTAGTTTTGCCGAATTCGTTCGTTTAGTATTTTATTTTATTTTTTGAAAATTCTTTATTTGATTTTTGAGTCCGTAGGGTCATTTAGAGTTTATGAGAGTTGGTCTCATATCATTCTGAGTTCATTTAGTATTTTTAGTAGATTTATTTTTGCTTCTGTTTGCTATGAATCCAATTTTTCACCCTACAGATGCTTGTCCTTCCTTTCCAGACAACAGTTTCCAAGTTGATCAGTATGTTGCTGCAGTTTTTCCTGGAAAGCCACAGTACCAGCAGCAGCAGCAGCAAAACAATCCATTCTGCAATATATATAATCCTGGCTGGAAAAATCATCCCAATCTCAAATGGAGCCAGAATCAGATAAGTGCACCATTCCAGCAGAGGCAGCAATTTGTACCTTCACAACAGAGGCAAAATTTTCAACAATTTGCACCTCCACAGCCAATGCAGCAGCAGCAAATGCAACAGCCACTAGTCCTTTGTATTTTAACCCTAATTTCAGGATTTTCACTAATCCTACCCTTTAATTCACATTTAATATATAAATACATGTTTTAGAAAAGCGAGGTGTTATATTCACCCCTCCTTTTTGAAATTGTCCGCAAAATTTAATCATACTTGTCCGCTAACTCAGGATATAGCCGGAGAATCTCATCCTCCTCGTTCCCAAGTAGCCTCCTCAGGTGTGCATCCTTCCCACTGAATCTTTAACATAGGAATATTTTTTCTTCTCAGCCTCTTTTCACTGCGGTCAAGGATGTCAATAGGATCTACAGGAGTATTTAGGTTCTCCCGAATTTCAATATCATCCGGTATCACCACATGTGATTCAACCGGAACATAACGCCGCAACGAAGATACATGAAAAACATCGTGTAGATTTGACAACTGTGGGGGCAAGGCAAGCTGATAAGCCACTAATTCCACTCTTTTCATAATTTGATACGGCCCAATAAATCGAGGACTCAGCTTCCTTACGCCCAAAGCACAGCCTACGCCCGTGATCGGAGATAACCGCACAAATATATGGTCACCTTCTTCAAATTCCAGCGATCTGTGTCTATTATCATAGTAACTTTTCTGCCAATTCTGTGACTGTTTGAGCTTTTCTCTTATCATTTCAATCTGTACTGTAGTCTCTTGAACAAAATCCGGACCAAATTTCTCTTTGTCACATACCTCAGTCCAACAAGTAGGAGTACGACATTTTCGTCCATACAATGTTTCATACGGTGCCATGCCCAGACTGGAGTGAAAAATATTGAGAATTCCACAATGACAAGTACCTGTCTCAAGCAGTACCCTGCTCTAGTGTGCAAGCTATCAGCATATCCTCAAGTGTCTGTATGGTCCTCTCAGTCTGACCATCAGTCCGCAGGTGATACGCAGTGCTCAGCTTGAGTTGAGTGTTAAAAGCCTACTGCAAGGCTCCCCAAAAACGTGAAGTAAACTTCGGGCCCCGATCACTGACAATACTAACTGGTATCCCGTGGAGCTTTACAATCTCATTCACATATAATTTTAATAATCTCTTCGTAGAGAAATCCACTCGCACTGGCACAAAGTGTGCAGACTTCGTAAGTCTGTCCACTATAATCCAAATTGAATCGTAACCAGCCTGAGTCTGAGGCAACCCAACAACGAAATCCATAGAGATGCTCTCCCATTTCCACTCTGGTATATCCAGTGGCTGAAGTAAACCAGTAGGTTTCTGATATTCTATCTTAACTTTCTGACAAACTAAGCACCCAGAACTTAACTGATACTCTTGATACATAATCTGCCACATCCTTTTTCATCCCGGGCCACCAGAACTTAACTTTCAAATCTTAATACATTTTTATAGCACCTGGGTGAATAGCATACTGACCCTTATGGGCCTCAACTATAACCTCCTCTGCTAGCTCTTTGGGCACAACAATCCTGCCCTGATACAGTAATAACCCATGTTCATTAATAGATATGCCACTCTGGCCTTTCAAGTATTTGATACTATCATTTCGTATCTGAGTTTCTTTAATTTTCTCCAGCTACTCACTCTCAAATCTAATCAGCTCAATGTCACAAATCCTACCTGCAAAGAAGTCCGTTATTCTCAAATCACGGAACTGCTCAATTACTTCATTATCCCACATCATCATATGAGACACACTGACAGACTTCATACTCAAGGCATCTGCCACCACATTAACTTTACCCGGATGGTATTTCAGCTCAAAATCATAATCCTTTAAGAATTCAACCCATCTCCGTTGTCTCATGTTCAGCTCTTTCTGATCAAACAAACATTTCAAGCTTTTGTGATCACTGAACACAGCAAACCTCATCCCATACAAAAATGCCTCCAGATTTTTAAGGCAAATACAATAGCAGCAAGCTCTAAGTCGTGCGTCGGATAATTTTTCTCATGAGGCTTCAATTGCCTAGAAGCATAAGCCACCACTCTCCTTTCTTGCATCAGAACACTCCCCAAACCTTTCTTGGAAGCATCAAAGTATAATTCAAACTCGCCTTCCGGATCGGGAAGAGTCAACACAAGAGCAGTAGTCAATTTCTCTTTACGTTTCAGAAAACAGTCCTCACATTCCTGGGTCCTGTAACAGCCCGTTATGTACCAGAAATGTTATCATTGCATATGATATTAAGCGCAGTTACAATCACAGTAATTGAGTTAATTAAATTACGGGTAAACTTTTTTCCTTTATTACATCATTAACTTTAAACAATAACTCCTTTCCGTAACTAATTAAAACAACGCCGTAATTGTAATTGCAAAACTTGCGGAAGCATAAAACATATTAATTATCATCTCCTTAAGCAATACCATTTATTTTAGGTTATAAAAACACTATTTTTGAAATTTACCCTGTGGTAATCGATTACCATCCTTGAGGTAATCGATTACCAAAGGTTACAGTAAAAGTCATTAGCTCAATTTGGGCTCCCCTATTTTGGGTAATCGATTACCTAGACATAGGTAATCGATTACTGAACTAGGTAATCGATTACCTATGTCAAGGTAATCGATTACTTTGAACATAGTAGCTCAATTTTGCGTCCCCTGTTTCAGGTAATCGATTACCAAGGAAAAGTAATCGATTATCCTACTGTAAAAATGACAGATGACAGCTTTTTCTTTGCAAAATGGATCATGTTTTCTATTTCTAACACTTTAATACTCCACATACCTCTTACACAAGTACTAATGTAGGCTCTAGGCCCTTCCATCATGCATTTTCTAATATCAATGTATCGATTACAAAAATTCACAATTCCATTGCCATTTTAAACCTCAAATGGCCAATTTACATCACAAGTCTTCCAAATGCCTCAAACACCAAATATTTGGCCATAGACAAGTCCCATGCTCAACCAAAATACAAATATAGACCAAAGGCATAATGTACATCAACTACATAGACTTAGAATCTAGCCATGAACACCTAAAAAGCATGGAAATCTCAACATGCAATATGTTCATGATCTAAGTCCAAAACGCTAAATATGTGCATAAAATATGCTCCTCCAAAATGTCATGCTCTCCATATGCACATCATGCTAGAATCCTCCTCTAAGCGGGCCTCTTGCCCGAAGCTCCTCCATGCTCACTATAGCATAAAATGATGTCCCCAAACGTGGGGTGAGATATACAAATATATCTCAGTAAACCAAGGGTACTAGAGGATCACTCCACCCCATGGCTCACTCAATGTACAACAATAACATCATGTAAAATGCATAACATTCAAAATCACCAAACAACTGGGCACAAATCCAAGAACATCCACATAAGGATTCCGTTCAAAGACCCCATCATATAACTCCCGGGAAGCATCCTAGTGCCTCTCCCATGGATGAGACGACCCCATGGCAAAACCCAACTGGAATTCCTCATGAGCCCTATCCAGCGGAAGTCCCACGTTTGGATCATCCTGGTACCGCTCCCAGAGTCAGCCCCACGGCAAAACCCGACTGGAATCCCCAAAGGATATCTCCAGCGGAAGTCCAAACCAACACACATCTACTGGCCAGAGATCACAAAATTTCACACACAACATGCTCCAAGCATGTCACACAATCAAGCAATAATGCATGAACATACATATTCACACAATGCCAAAAGCACAAAATCCAACCACAACCTTCCACTAGGTGTGGTGGAGCACACAAGGGACTAAACCCAAGTTCTAAAGGTTTACCTCAACTCCAAGCACAATGCTCCAAAATGTACGCTCCAAGTTCAATCCTCCACTATTGCGTCCGTGAGAGGCAACCTATATGATCAAACACATTGACCATCAACCAATTGCAAACAACCAATCAATTTTCACTAGGATTTAAACCAATTATAGCCACTTAAGCCAAATGGCCTTCTCACCAATTAATTCAACTAACTCAACCATTTTAGATCATCAATCTAACTCACCATTTATTCACCAATGCTTCAACCATTGATTAAACCACATTCTCACATCATTTTTCCCAAAATCCTCCTATGGTTCAAATTTCTTAATTAAGCATACACCAAGACTTTCTATTCAATTTAACACTTATACACCTCCTTTAATCCTATAATTAGTTCATACCAATGGTCCATAATTCAATTCTTCAATTTTACCACATACCAATTTCACAAAATCATCAATATCAACTCTAATTTTCACTAAGTTATAATTTTCCAAATCACCATAATTTTTATTGCATCAATCATCATCATTTATCATCCTAAGCATTTAATTTCAAAGGAGACATACCATTTAATGCTCCTAACTACCATAACTCAATTTAGAACTTCAAAACCCTCATCAATGTTATGATCTCCATGAAAACTCAAAGAGAATGGAAAAACTTACCACCAATAAACTCCAATGGTCCAAGAGAGTGATCTCCAACCAATGGTTCAACACAAAAAAACCCCAAAAATTCCCCAAAATCCCCAATTTTTTGTGTCTGTTTTAGGGGCTTTTCTTCCTCTACAATGCTCCCCACAAGATGCACTCTACATAAAAGTCAGTCACAAGATGATGGGGAACAACTTTGTAGTTGAAAGTTTCTCTCAAAAGTGTCTAGAAAAAGAGTTAGAATTTCAAACCAACCCTAAGCCTTTCCAATGGATGTCACGACGGGGAAGAAGAGAAGGGAGGAGAGAGAAATGGTAGGAAATCATATTTTGTGACTTTAAGTCACCTAATCCACTTAAAGTGGGTCCCACACGTCATTTACCTTTCTTAAATCATCTATTTTAATCCACAAATTTATAACCTACGTATTTTTCTCGTTCACGTCATATTTTTACTTCCTAAAAATACTGATCATATTTTCACGCTTATCGTTACAATTATACCGCAGTATTTTACATCGGAAAAATCACTATTCGTCAAATTTTTCGAAACTTGCCTATCCACTCGATTTTTCGTCTTGAATCCATTTTCAGCATTTTTTTTATCATTTGAGACCTTCTACTCAACTTTTCATGCCTAGAGATACGTATTTAGTAAATTACCATTTTGCCCTTTTTACGTATTTTGGCTCTAATTTCAGGATTTTCACTAATCCTACCCTTTTAATCAATATTACCACATATAATTATACATTTAGAAATACGAGGTGTTATAGGTCCACACAAAAGGAGTATTCTTTCGTGTCAACCGGGTCAACGGCAATACCATAGCGGAAAACCCCTCTATAAACCTGCGATAATAACCAGAAAGACCCGGAAAGCTCCTGATCTCAGTCACAATCTTAGGTCATTCCCAGTCACTTACCGCCTCAATCTTACTTGGATCCACCGCAACACCACTAGCAGAAATAACATGACCCGGAAATTGCACCTCAGATAACTAGAATTCACATTGAGATGGCTTGGCATACAACTTTTTATCTTTCAACACCTACAACATAGTCCTCAGATGCTCTGTATGCTCCTCTTTACTTTTGGAATAGATCAGGATATCATCGATGAATACTATCACGAATTGATCCAAATACGGTTTAGAAATGCGATTCATATAATTCATGAACACCGTAGGGGCATTAGTAAGCCCAAAAGGAATCACTTGATATTCAAAGTGTCCGTATCTGGATCGGAACGCCGTTTTAGGCACATCCTCCGGCTTAATATGGATCTGGTGGTATTCGGATCGGAGATCAATCTTAGAAAATACGCAGGCATCCCTCAACTGATCCAACAAATCATCAATACGTGGCAACGGGTATCTGTTCTTAATTGTAACTTTGTTCAACTGCTGATGGTCAGTACACAATCTCATGCTACCGTCTTTCTTTTTCACAAATATCACCGGTGCTCCCCACGGAGACACACTCGATCTGATAAAGTTCTTTGCAAATAGTTCTTCAACATGCTTCCTCAACTCAGCCAACTCTAGTGGCGACATCCGGTATGGAGCCAAAGAGATAGGCCCCACATAGGGCAACAAATCAATAGAGAACTCAATCTCTCTCTCTCTCAGGTAGAAATTTCGGTATCTCATCAGGAAATACATCAACAAATTCATTAACCACCGGAATACTTGAAATTTCTAACTCTTTGTCACCAACCAATCCACCCAAGAAGAAATAACCCAGATTACCAGTCTTCAAGGCTTTAATAGTTTGACAGACAGACAGATAAGGAGACGGACACACATAGGGCTTCACGTGAGATAGTATCAACCTCTTTCTGTAGCAATCAATCATTGCGCAGTTTTGAGACAACCAGTCCATACCCAAAATCAAATTAACAGAGGCCAGGGGCAAGATAATCAAATCAGTAGTGTAACCCCTGCCTTCATAGACAAACCCAACTTCTTTACAAATAAAGGAGGGATCACTAACCTCTCCTGTAGTAGTAGTAATACGCATAGGGGGAATCATTCGTGTTACCCTTAAGTTCAATCCCTTCGCCACATATTCTGCCATGAATGAATGTGTCGCTCCCAAATCAAACAGCACAGATAAATCAATATTAGAGATGAAAATTATACCTTTCACAAGATTCAATGCCTTCTCTGTCGCTGCACATTGGTAGTGTACACACGTCCCACAGTCGGGACAGATGGCAAGGCCTGGAGATTCGCAGCCTGCCCAGTGTTACTATAGCACTCTCTGGAAAAATGCCCAACCTTACCACATTTGAAACATGAATTTGGAGCCGCAGTACAAGGACCCTGATGATACCTCTTACACTTATCACATTGAGGAGCAGAATTCCTGTCATTGAAACCACCCCTCTGACCACCACCTCCTTTGAATTTTCCCGGAGGCTGCCTTACGTGCAACCCCCTACCTCTATTATTATATTAATGGGAGCTACCTCTATAATTTGAACCAGAAGGACCAGCTGTCCTCTTAACTTCTTGATCTTTGGCAGTATTAGATTTTGGATATCTGCCATATACAGTCTCGACCCTCTTGAACTGGGTCACTAGGTCAACAAAGTTTCTAACAGCAGTGTTTGACATACGCTTTGCAATTTTCTTGTTTAGTCCTCTCTGAAATTTTGCAGATAAGAATTCTGGGGTAGGCAGAACACCCCCATAATTGGCAAACTTGACCAATTCATTGAACTTGGCAGCTAAATATGCATCTACAGTCATGGAACCCTGTACTAACTTGTCAAATTCTCCCTATTTCGCTTCCCGGACATCCCTGGGAAAATATTCTTCGTGAAATAAGCTCTCAAATAGAGGCCAAGTCAGTTCTTCTCCCTGAATAATAAAAGGGCGAGATGCGTTGCACCACCACTCGTGGGCATCATCCTCCAGCATGTAAACTGAATCCATCAATTTCTGAGGATCCTGGCACCTCATTACCCAAAATATCTTGTCCATCCCCATCAGCTAGGTAGTAACTCTCTTCGGGTCCTTTGACCCCTGAAATGCTGGCGATTTATGTTTCATGAAAGATATGAGCCTCTGCTCATCAGCAGCACCAGCATTCGACTGTTCAGTACCCCAGAGGATTGAGCAACATATATTGGATCAACAGTGGGCTGACTAGCCTCACCAGAATGGTGACTAGCCCCACTCCTCTCCTGATGAAGTGTTACAGATGGCGTAGGTGTAGGAGTCACCGTAGCCGTATGTGGAGGGGAATCATCCCTCATATGCCGAGCTCTCTCAGCCCTCATCTCAGTCATGAAGGCATTCATCATCTCCTGATTATTTTTCATCAGGTTCTCAGTCATAGTTCTATTCACAGTCGTCTCCGTCTGCAAAGCATTCTGGATTGCAGTAATTGGATCAGGCGCTGGAGGATCTGCACCTCGTGTCCCACGGCGACCACGAGCCCTCCTCATGATATCTGTACATGTAACACAAAGAAATGAGCTGATCAGACCCACACTGAGGAATCACATATACATTAATCATAAAGAGTTCACAGATAGCTATGCAACACAAAATACAGTCATACATAATCAGAGTTCCCTAGTAAACTACTCTGATACCATAAAATGTAACAGCCCATTGTACACCAGTATTGTTAACATTGATTATGATATTAAACGCAATTATAATCACAGCAATTCATTTATAAGAATGCGAGTAACTTTTTCCTTTTTATTACGTGAGCATTTAAAACAATAATAAGGCAAAATAAATAAAAGTTGTGACCGTAACTGAAAACTCATTGCGGAATAATAATATAAATTTCTTAGTTATCATATAATACTTCTCTCAAGTCACTAAGGGGTTCCCATAAACCCACTTAGCATAATTCTCACTTTTACGGTTTCTACTTATCCAAACATGGTTCGGTATTCTGGTTACTGCAGAAAATCCACATGTCGCGAACCTCCCATCTTTTAGCATAATTCTCTTTTTCGTCGGATATCACCGTTTGAAGTTGTACAAGCAAATCTCCTAGCCAACCTCGAATAGGGCTCCAAACATCCCTCACTCTTTGAGCGATTTCGGACAAACCACTCCACCAAACACTCTCAACTTTTTATACGGTAAACTAGACACCTCAAGCTTCAATTTGACATATCATTCACCTAATTTTACCAATAAACGAAGCGGGAATAAATTTTCCAAAAACGCACAGTGACAGCCCCATGTGCAGGGGACTTTCGGACAGTCTGTGTTCAATGACCTCTATAGGGCAACGTGCTACTCCTATGGTTCTCAAATTTTGGCAAAAGGTAGTTGACATGTCAAGCTTTACAATGGTGTATGGCACATCCCTATTGGACTTATGTGGAGGGAGATATGCTCTCCCAAAGTTCACTCAAAATATGCCATTTTATAGAAATTTTGCCAGAGTCTCCTTTTTTTCCAACATATCCCACTTTTAAAAGTGTGTTATCTATCCTCAATTTGTACCTAATAAACATGGGTGGCACTCAAGGACCAGCAATGCCTTAGTGCTCTTACAACCCTTCACAATTTATATCAAAAGCTTACTTTATAACTCATTGATTACATTATCAAATCTTAAAACATTTCAATCACATTAATTCCATTGCATGCATTCTTTTGGCATAAAACATAAATCATATCCTCAAATGGGCCTATTGCTCTTTCATCATATACATTCTTATTAAATATCCATGCATATAATCATGACAACTTACCAAAATCCCTTGCAACCCACCAAGCTCAAAGCTCCAAATTCACTTCCGTGGGAGGCAACCTACAGTGATCAAACGAGGATCATCAACACACAGTGCAATTAACCAACATTACAAAGCACCAAATTCCCACCTCCCCACATGCATAGGTTCGGCCATTTAGGCCTAATTTATCAAACAATTTTCTTAATTATTTTTTATAGTTCCCATGGTTTCTTAGGCTTACCCTAACACTAATTCAAGTCCTCAGATTAACTAAAACCATTCAAGCCCCAATTTTCCTAATCTCCCTAATTGGTTCGAATGCACACTCTCACCCACTCCAAGTATTTTTCCTTTAATTTCCAATGTATCAACTGAACACACAACTCATTTAAACACCATTTTTAATTATTCAACATCCATTAAACAATTTTTGCATCATCAAGCCCAATATACCCAATCATGGTCGAGTTCTAGGGGAAAGCCTACCAAGGGGTTTCTAACCCAATTCAACACTTTTACACACCTTACAATCCTATAATTAACTCATACAAACTTTCCACAACTCAATTACACAATCATAACACAAAGTCATTTCACAAAGTGTTGAATTCCCACATCAAATTTTTCTCTGTTATACAATTATTTCCTCAATAATTTTTATGGTTTCTATCATTCTAAAATATCATTCTAAGCCACTTTCATCTAATATACAATTTCAATTTGAGCTCTCTAACTACATCAATCATTCAATTCAACTCTAGGGTTCATAATTTTGATCCATCAATTCAACCAATCAAAAGTGTTAAAACTTACCCACAAGCTAGGCCTAAGACTTCTCCAAATGATATCCAAGTAATGGCTTGAACACACAACTCAAGAACACCAAATCTCCTCCAATGGCCGCGGCTGAAAGTGTGGATTTTCTCCCAATTTAGTGAGTTCCAAGACTGAAGACTACCATGGTTGTGTTTGGATGATGATTTCCTTCAACTTTGGTGACAAACTTTGTTGGATTTGAGTGAGTTTTGAGTGAGTTATGAGAGGATGAAGTCTTTAACTCAAGTTCTCCATGGAAAGGGATGAGGCACGATTTTGATGAGAGAGAAAGGAGAAAAAGATGATGAATAGTGACACAATGCCATGTGTTTAAAGGTCACTTAAGTGGGGTGGGTCCTAGCGCCACCTTACGCAATTCAAATTAATTCAAATCTTCTGCCTATTCCACTAAACGGCTATAATTTTCTAAACTATTTAGAAACTCTACTTTTTTACATTAACCATTGTCCTTTAATTTCTCTTGATCAGATGTATCCGGAGTTTTCCGGTTGTTCAGAGAAATCGCAGTTTCAAGCTTTTACGCGTGTTGTGGGCACGCTTCCCCAAACACTTTAATTTCCATCAATTTTCACCAAAAATCATATTTCCTAGTCCTATGTACCATTTATAACTTATATCCAAACCTAGAGCTCAAAATTCATTCGGCACGCTTTACGGTGCAACTGTCGCAATATTTTTACCTCGTAAACATTATTCACAAAATTTTCTGAAACTTGCCTATCCACTCAATTTTTTGTTCTGAATCCATTTCCAAGGTTAGTTTTCTCATTTGAGACTTCCTACTCAATTTTACTTTCCTAGGGTTACGTGATTGGCTAATTACCATTTTACCCTTCCTTTGTATTTTAACCCTAATTTCAGGATTTTCACTAATCC